GAGTGTCCAACTCTTGATTTCTGCTCAGTCACGATCTCAGGGTCCTGAGATTGAGCCCAGGGTCCGGCTCCACGCTCAGCGGGAAGTCTGCTTGAGATTTTTACCCTTCTCTTTCCCTCACCCTCTGCTCCTCCCCCTGCTTGCACTCTCCTTCTCTAAAATAAATATAATCTTTTTTTTCTAAAGATTTCATCTATTTATTCATGAGAGACGGCGGGGGGGCAGAGGGAGAAGCAGGCTCCCGAGGAGCAGGGAGCCTGATGCGGGACTCGATCCCAGGACCCTGGGATCATGACCTGAGCCGAAGGCAGACGCTTAATGACTTAGCCACCTAGGTGCCCCAATAATAAACAAAATCTTTAAAAAATAAAATAAAATACTAAAAACCTAGAACAGATAGAAAAGGCAAGAGATAAAGCAATCACAAAGATCAACTGAGGAAGCAATGGGTTTCAGCAATAGAGGACTGGGGCTTTGCTTATTTTGAACATTTTGTCCCTAATAAAAAAAGGCAGTCAAAGATTACTTATTTGAGAAAGAGAGAGAGAAAGTGTGCATCCGTGCAGGGGTGGGGAGGGACAGAGGGAGAGGGCAAGAAAGTCTCAAGCAGGCTCCTCGCTAAGTGTGAACCCAAGGTGGGGCTCAGTCTCACAACCCTGAGATCATGACTTGAACCGAAACCAAGAGTCAGAGGCTTAAACAACTGTGCTACCCAGGCGCCCTGATAATTTTTTAAAAAGATTTTATTTACCTATTTATTTGAGAGATAGAGGGCACGAGCAGGAGGGAGGGTCAGAGGGAGAAGGAGAAGCAGACTCCTGGCTGAACAGGGAGGCCGATTAGGGACTCGATCCCAAGACGCTGGGATCATGACCTGAGCAGAGGGCAGATGCTTAACCAATTGAGCCACCCAGGCGCCCAATTTTTGTCTTGTTTATACATAAAAAAGTAGTAAAATATACATAACAAAAACTTTACTCTCAATTCTATTCTGTTGGTCAATGTGTCTGTGCAGAGGCCAGCACCACACTGTTTTAATCACATAGCTTTAGAGTAAATTTTCAAATCAGGAAATATGAGTCCTCATATTCATTCTTTTTTTTTCAAAATTGTATTGGCTATTTGGGGGTCCCTTGAGATTCAATATGAATTTTAGGATGGATTTTTCTATCTCTGCAAAAAAAGTGATTGGGATTTTAATGTGGATTGCATTGAATTTGTCGACTGATTGCTTTGGGTAGTTTTTGACATCTTAATAATATTAAGTCAGGCACCCAGGGAACAGAAGAAAATATCTGTAAATCATATATCTGATGTGGGGTTAATGGCCACAATATATGAAGAATTCCTATAGCTCAACAACACAAAACACAAACAACCCAATTAAAAGAAGGCAGGGGGTGCAAAAGACATTTTTTTTTTTAAGATTTTATTTATTTATCTGACAGAGAGAGGGACAGAGAAAGAGAGAGCACAAGCAGGGGGAGCGGCAGGCAGAGGGAGAGGGAGAAGCAGGCTCCCCGCCAAGCAAGGAGCCTGATTCAGGACTCGATCTCAGGACCCTGGGATCATGACCTGAGCTGAAGGTAGATGCTTCACCACCTGAGCCACCCAGGCGCCCTTGAATAGACATTTCTGCAAAGAAGATATACACATGGCCAATAATCGCATGAAGAAATGAGCATCCTGAGCATGATTTCTTAGGAAATGCAAATCAAAACTCCAATGAGATATTAATGACTTCACACCCATTAGGATGGCTACTGTTAAAACAAAACAAAACAAAAAATCAGAAAGTAACAAGTGTTGTTGGGAGAGTGGAGAAATCGAAACTCTTGTGTACTATCGGCAGGAACAGAAAATGCACCAGCCACGGTACAAAACAGTATGGCAGTTCCTTAAAAAGTTAAACATAGAACTACCACATGACCCAGCAATTCCACTTCTGGGTATTTACCCAAAAGAGCCAAAAGAGCTGAAAGCATGTTCTCAAAGAGCTATTTGTACACCCAGCGTTCATAGCAGAGTTATTCAGAATGGCTAAGGGGTGGAAGCATCCATCGATGGATGAGTGGATAAACAAAACGTGGCCCATCCATACGACAGAAGATGATGCAGCCTGAAAAACGAAGGACATTCTGACACCTGCTACAACGTGGAGGACATCATCCTCATCAAAATAAGCCAGACTCAAAAGGACAAACACTGTATGAATCCACTCCCAGGAGGTCCCCAGAGGAGTCCCGTCCACACAGACAGAGAGGAGAGGGTGGGAGCCAGGGCTGGGGCAGGGGGTGGGGAGTCTGTGCTTCGTGGGGACAAAGTCTCTGTGTGGGGAAATGGAAAGTTCTGGAGACGGAGGGTGGGGTGGCTGCACGACAGTGTGAGTGTGCCTCATGCCGCTGAGCTGTGCACTTTAAAATGGTTAAGATGGTACAGTTTTTAAAGATTTATTTTATTTTAGAGAGAGAGAGAGAGTGAGAGAGCGAGTGGGAGTAGGGGCAGAGGGAGAGAATCCCCAAGCAGATGCCCTGCTGAGTGTGGAGCCTGCCGTGAGGCTTAATCCCACAACCCAGGAGACCACGACCTGAACCAAAATCAAGAGTCAGACGTCTAACCAACTGAGCCACCCAAGTGCCCCTAAAGATGTTTTATCTTTTAATGTTTAAACAAAACAGAAGAATATTTCATAACACATGACAAAGTTATAAAATACAGATACCAGTATTTATAAAGTTTTATTGGCACATAGCTATGCCTGTTAGTTTGCATATAGTCCACAGCTCTGCCCAGTGATGGCAAAGTTGAGCAGTTGCTAGAAACACTGTATGTGTCCTGCAAAGCCAAAGATATTTCTTTTCTGGGGGGGAATCTTTTTTAAGATTTTATTTATTTTTCCTCTCTCGCTGTATCTCTCTGTCAGATAAATAAATAAAATCTTAAAAAAAAATAAAACAGCCATAATATCACAATCGCACCTTAAACCATTAGAACCGTGATAGTGGCAAGAATCTACGTGTGATCAGATTTCACCACCACCAAAAAGTACTTGTAAAAACTGAAGAAATCGAAACATCTGTACCTGAGTGGACTGTATTGTACCAACATCACTTTTCCGGTTTTGACAACACACGGTGTTTATGGAAGACGTTATCATTGGGGGAAGCTGGGGGAAGGCTAGGTAAAACCCTGTACTATCTTTGCGATTTCTTGCAAATCGGAAAACTGTTCGGAAAACTTAAAAATTGTAATAACAATAAAACAAACCCTGTAGGGATGCCTGGCTGGCTGAGTTGGTGAAGCCTCTGCCTTTGGCTCAGGTCATGATCCCAGGGTCCTGGGATCGAGTCCCCCATTGGGGTCCTTCCTCAGCCTGAGCCTGCTTCTCCCTCTGCCTGCCTCTCCCCCTGTTTGTGCTCTGACAAATAAAATCTTATCTTAAAGAAAAAAAAAACCCTGTAAAATTAGGGTTTGGATGAGGTCAGTGAGGTCATGCGCAATTGCAGAGTTGGACTCTTAAAAATTCTGATATTTTCATCATCATTTTTTCTATTGCATTCTTATTTTTTAAGATTTTATTTATTTATCTGACAGAGAGAGACACAGCGAGAGAGGGAACACAAGCAGGGGGAGTGGGAGAGGGAGAAGCAGGCTTCCCGCCGAGCAGGGAGCCCGATGCGGGGCTCGATCCCAGGATACTGGGATCGTGACCTGAGCCGAAGGCAGACGCTTAACGACTGAGCCACCCAGGCGCCCCTATTGCATTCTTATTTTTTTAAAAATCACACTAACAGGGGCGCCTGGGTGGCTCAGTCGGTTAAGGGTATGCCTTCAGCTCAGGTCACGATCCCAGCCTTCTGGGATCGAGTCTGGCGTTGGGCTCTCTGCTGAGCAGAGGCTTGCTTCTCCCTCTCCCTCTGCCTGCCGCTCCCCCTGCTTGTGTTTTCTCTCTCTCTCTCTCTGTTAAATCAGTCAACATACTTTGAGCTATTTGGGGTGCTTCCTTAAATTTCTCTTAATTCCTGCCCTGAGAATCATGAACTCAGGGTATGAGCCCTGGAACACACATTTTTTAAAATTTAAAAATAATTATTTCTAAAGTAAACTCGCCCCCCAACGTGCGGCTGGAACTCACAATCCCGACATCCAGAGTCGCACGCTCTCCCGACGGAGCCGGCCGGGCGCGCCTGGAACACACATTTTTGTCCTCTCGCCTCCCGCCTTTGACACAAGCAAGTTGGAGCTGCGCTGCCCGCGGGCGCTGGGGAGCCGACGAGGGCTCTAGAGCAGGGGAAGCTCCAGTTAGCACAGATTCCAAAGGTTACCGTGGGTGGGGAGGCGGGACCGGGAGAGGGTCGCCCGCAGGGGCGGGGCAGAGCGAGCCGCGGGAAGCTGGGGAGGAGGGCCTCATTCCTCGGCCGGGGGCCCGCCGGGGGGCGCCGCGCCCGCTCTCTCTCTGCCGCGCCAGGACCCGGATGTGCAGCGCGCCGGGCCCGCCGGGGCTGCACGGTGCTGGGCGGCTGGGCGCCCGGCTGCACGCGCTGGCCGCCGCCGTCGCGCTGGAGCACCCGTCCCCTCCCCCGACGCCGCCGGGCATCCGGGCGCGCACCTGGCTGGCCGCCCAGCGCGGGGGCCGCAGCACCTGGCTGCATTGTTGTCACCGCCGCCCCCTCCCATCCTCCCCTTCCCTCCCCACACAGGACCCAGCACTCGCCCCCACCTGTGCGGTGCTCGTATTCCTTTAAGTAGCCAGACGCCGCGAGGGGTGGGCGTGGTGGCCGGGGGAGAAATGGGGGGGCGGTGTCGGGCCGCCCTGATTGGCCCGAGGCCCGGGCGGCGGTCGCATGCGCCTGCGCACTGCGCAGCAGCGCGCGCCGGGGGGGGTGGTGGGAGGGCGCGCGGGTGCTAATTGGCCGCCGCGGCGGCCCCGCCCGCGAGTGGCGGGCGGTCACGTGACGCGACGGCTGGGGGCTCCCGGCGCGGGGGACGCTGGTGGCCAAGATGGCGGCGGAGCTGGTGGAGGCCAAAGTGAGTGAGCGGCGGCGGCGCCGGCCAGGGCGGGCGGGAGAGTGGGCGGGGGCCGGGCGGCGGGCGGAGGTCTGCGCCTTCCGCTTGTGGCCCTACGGCGCGGCCAGCTCGCGGTTCGCCGCCCGGCCCCCTCGCCCGCCCCTGGCCCTGGCGCGCCGGGTGCGGGCGGGGGGCGGGGAGGCCGGGGGCGGGGCCCCCCCAACCTTTCCCCAGTCTTCGCGCTGGGGGTTGGTTCTCGGGCTTGAGGCGGGGTTGCCCCCCCACAGCCCGAATGGTTAGGGTCCAGTCTCCTTAAGCACGGGGACAGGGCCGCGCCTCCCAGCTAGAGGCACAGTTCCCCCGGACAGCAAGACGGGCTGGACTGTTCGTCCCCTCCTCGCCCTGAGCCGGGGTCCTGCCCTTTGGCCTGGGGGAGTGTCTTCGCCTCCCGTGGCACCGAAGGCTGGCATCTGGGTCTCAGCCCCCCGACCCAGCAGGCCAGCTGGGGTTGGCGACTCCCTGCTCTGAAGCGTCCGCTGACCCTTCTGCCACCGATTCCACCATCCAGGGTGATGAGCCAGGGTCCTGAAGCATCCCCACAGTGTTTTCTTGGGGTTCGTACCCCGGGCTGGAGTTTGGACCCCTAGTTCAGGTCCTGCGTTGGTCCCAGAGCCCCGCCCCCCTCCTGACACCATCTCTCTCGCCTTCGGAGTGGGCACCGTGTCACTCGAGTTTGCTCTCCCGCCTGGGATGGAGTCCTGACCCCTGTTCTCTGTTCAAATCCTTCCTAACTCTCCTCAGTCTTGGGTCCTGGGCTCTGCCTTCCTCCCACTTTTTATCCTCCGGACAGCATCTGTGAGGTTTTGGACTCTGCTCCTGGGGTCTCTAAACTTCACACTAGCAAGATCAGACCCCATACTAAGTTTCCCCTATACTCCCTAGTGAGGCTACTAAGATCATACTTCCTCCATACAGCTCCCAAAACCCTACTTTAGATCCCTTTATGCACCCCAGCTCTGGCTTCTGAGGCTCCCTCTCCTTTTTTGCTGGTTTCTTGTGTTGATCCATGGAGAGTCCCCCACCTCTTTCTTCAGTGCCCTCAGTGCTTCTCCCTCATACTCCATTTTGGGGTTCAGGTTCCACATCCCACAGGTACCATCCCTGTTCAGGGATGTACCTTCTTCCAGGTACCTCCCCAACGGTAAGGCTCCAGAGCCCTTGCCCTGAACTACGCTAGGGTTGTTCCTTTCCTCCCTGAGAAGTTTACTCAAGGTCTTTGGTGGCAGGGAGGTGGGGGACTGGACCTTTGCTGGACAGAGGCTCCTCCCCCTCCCTCCCTGCTGGTCTCCCCTCCCCAGGGTCCTGACCTGTAAATGTTTTCTTTCTCCTGTTCCTCTCTCTCCTTCCATCTCCCTTCCCTTCCTGCGGAGATCTGAAATGGAGCTCCCTTCCCCCTGGAGCGTCCCCCTCAATGCCTGTACTACACACTCTGCCCTTCTCTAGGGTTTTGAGAAATTGGGACTTCCCCTGGAGATGCAGAAGTCTGAACTCTGCAAGCCCAAGGTGGCAGTGGGTGGGCTTGAAGTCCCCTGGAGCCCTGAAATTCAGTGGTCCCATGGGGCTGTGACTCTGGGCCCGGGCACCCGCCCCCACCCCCACGCCCACCCGCACCAGAGGGTAGGGACTAAATTCTTTTATACCATCCAGGGCCTTGAAATATGATCTGATGAACTCTACTTGACCCTCTAGTGGCTGGGGCCCCCCACCCCAATTAAATCAACTTGACCCTTTTTTCAGGTTCTCTAGAATGTGAGCCTCCGTTCAGTGGCACAGCTTGCTCTGAGCCTCGGGAGCCTTTCTTCTTTAGTCTCTGGCTGTCACTGTGGAGTGTCGTACGTGTCATTGAAGTGTTCTTTTAGGTGCTTACCTAACCTTTTGTATTAGGAGCTGGAGATTTCGTCTTTTGGGGTACAAAACTGGCTGCTCTGCGGGGAGAACAAGGGGGAGGTTGTTGGTAAACTTGGAAATCAGACTCTTCACCTGAGGACCCTGAGAAGGCTTGGGGGAAGAGGTAGTCTGGGAACCCCTTGGGATGGTAGCATTTTGCACAGATCTCCCATTTCCTGGAGATAAGGACCTTCACTTTCCCCACGTTCAGAGGAACCTATACCCGAGACTGATTAAGTTAAGCCCAGCAGCTCTATCCAGGCTGATGTTTTTCCACGCAGCTCCAAACAAGCCCAGAGTTGAGACTATGGAAGCCGTCAGGGCCTGGTGCTGTTTATAAACACAGATCTGAGGGGCAGGCGGGGTAGGATGAATCCATGGCAGGAAGTGATTTGCAAAGCGCTTGGGGCTTCTTCCTGAATGTTTGTGCCCCTCTCACGCTGTCCCCCCTCCCAGTGTCAAGGGCAGGCTCCTTGGTGGTGGCAGCTGCTGAGAAATCTGAGTCGTGAACATATGGCAGCTTGAGGGATGTGCCCCAGGATGCTCGTGCGGCAGATCCGGATGTCCAACCTGGTGAAAGGGCTAGGCCTCGGCGGGGGCAGGGTGCGGGGTGCTGTTAGAAGATGTGTTGTGGTCAGACTCGGCATCCCAAGCCCACCTGCCTTTAGCTCCATGGAGGGCAGTCAGCTTCCACATGACATCGCTTCTCCCCTCCAAGGCCTTGGGCCTCTTCCAGAAGAAACATCTTGTCTGCAAGCCTATTTTCTCTGCTCAAGGTAGGAAGTCAGGCCAAGGAAGGTGAAGTCTTTGTTTTCATAAGCGTTCCGGGCTCTCTGAAGGCCAGCACACTGCTTCGGTTCCGAGGCACGGGGTGTGCTGGGATGTGAGGGTCCCCAGGCCCCCAGATAGCTGGGTGGGAGTGGGAGGAAGTGCCCTTGGGACTCCGACGGACCCTGCCACTGCCATGCGGGAAGAGCCCTCATGCTTGGCATGCGGCGGACACTCCACGTTCGTCCGTAGTGCAGGAGCAGGAAGGGGCTCTCTCCTGAGATTTTGCAGGCAGGACGGGGCAGCTCCACACGTCTGTCTCTGTCGTTTTGTGCCTCGACAGCCCCTCCCCGCCATCAGCTGGAGCCTGGTGTAAGGCTGGGAGTGATCTTAGAGGGTTCCCATCCCACGTAGCTAGATGAGGTGCCCAAAGTGCAGAGAGGCCTGACGGAGGACCCACTGGGAACCCGGGGCTCCTGAGTCCCAGTGCTCCCATCAGTCTCCATGCCTCACCCTTCGACAGCCAGGAAACGGGAAACACCAGAGCCTTCTGGCATTGGGACCGCTACGTAAACGCCCTGGCAGGATTCCCGCCCACTTCCAACTGTCAGACTCTCAAGTTGAACGTAAGGGCTTTATTGGTTTCCTTGGGTGCTGTCCTGCCCTGTGCCCGCCAGCTTTCGGTATACACCCTCGTCACTTGTACCTGTTTTCCCCATGCCCCTGGAAGTGTTTTTTCACCCACCACGTTTCATTCAGCACAGGCCAGCTTTGGGGCTCAGTGTGAGTGGCCCTGAAACCCTGCTGGTGCATCCATCCTTCAAGGACACTTGCTCATGTAGCGTATGGGGAAGCGTCCCTCCGCTTGGGGTCCAGGGTCTCACAGAGGGCAGGCCATGGTCAGGCTGCCTCAAGGAAGACATCAGCTGAGCTCTTGTGTTTGGCTTGATTGAGTTGGAGGGACCCTGCCAGACCTCTTTCATCACTTCGCCACAGCTCACTTCACAGCCTCTGGGGCTGCCGGATTCCCAAAGCCTTCCCCTCAGACCCACGGTTCTCAATCCTATTCCCAGGGCACACTTGGCAGTGTCTGGGGGACCTTTGTGATTGTCACTGCTGGGTTGTGGGGGGGCTCCTGGCATTGAGTGGGTGGAGGCCAGGGATGCTGCTGAGTACCCCACGGTGCTCAGGACAGCCCCACCCCAGAGGACCATGCAGCCCCAGCGTCCACGGTGTCGAGGCGGAGAGGGCCTGCTGGAATGATCAGCAGACGTTTGATGCTCACCTGTGCTCAGCTCCATGTGGACGCTTGTAGTGCAGTAGAGAGAAATTATCCCTGGCTTTAGAGTCAGGCCTAGGTTTGAATCTTGGCTATAACGTGGAGCTCCCCCCAGCCTGGCAGGGTTGTTTTAAGAATCAGAGTTAAGTATATGATTGCATGTGCAGCTCAGTTCCTGGCAGGTGATTAGTATTAAATCGTGGCTACCATCCTCCAGACTGAAGGGAAAACATGTTTGTGGCCAACGTTGATTTACTCTGCTTTCCGTATGTTACCTCATCTGGTCCTTCCCACATTCTTACGAAGTGGATCCTGTCATCCTGACGAAGAGACTGAGGGTCAGAGAGGCCATTAGTGTTCTTGGCTAGGGAGTGGCTGAGGCTGTTTACGGGTAAAGCAAGATTCCCAGTTTCTGCCCTGGGGATGCTTTCAGGCTTGAAGATGGGAAAAGAGAACCTAAAATAGAAGGCAGTGGTGTGTGTTGGGGGGGCGGTCAGAAGCTTTTGCTGCGTTGGCAATGCCGAGGAAGGTTTGAGGAGAAGGAGGGGAGCAGGGCTGAGCTGGGAGGGGGCATCACAGGCAAGGGTGAGCAGGAAGCCTGAGCAAAGGCATGGAAGTGGGACTGAGCCTGGGCTAGTGGGCCTGGTGCCAAAGCCGCCGCCGCCGCCGCCTCCTTCTGCCAGCTAGAGTGAAGGGGACCTGGGGGCGGGGCGAGGCAGCACCTGATGGGCTGTCACTTCGCTGTCCCCCAATTTAGGGCCCAGGTGGCTCCAGGAAGCCCCTTGCTGCATTGGCAGTCCCCAAATCTGGCCAGGTCTCGTCTGAGCATGTGTGTCTGTTGTCGCTCTTCCCCAGAACATGGTGATGAGTTTCCGAGTCTCGGATCTTCAGATGCTCCTGGGTTTTGTCGGCCGGAGTAAGAGCGGACTTAAACACGAACTTGTCACCCGGGCCCTCCAGCTGGTCCAGTTTGACTGTAGCCCCGAGCTATTCAAGAAGATCAAGGAGCTGTACGAGACACGCTACGCCAAGAAGAGCTCAGAGCCTGTCCCCCAGCCCCACCGGCCCCTGGACCCCCTGACCATGCACTCAACCTACGACCGGGCTGGCACAGTGCCCAGGACTCCCCTCTCGGGCCCCAACATTGACTACCCCGTGCTGTACGGGAAGTACTTGAATGGACTTGGACGCTTGCCTGCCAAGACCCTCAAGCCAGAAGTGCGTCTGGTGAAGCTGCCCTTCTTTAACATGCTGGACGAGTTGCTGAAGCCCACAGAGCTGGGTGAGTCTGCCACCGCCCTGGGGGAGGGGTGTCCCACCTTCTGCATTCCCCCAGTGCCTGTGGCCAGCCACGTCACCGACCCGGAGTGTCTCTCGGGAAGCAGCGAGGGCCAGGGGGTCGTGGGGGGCTTTCCCTCCTAGAAGCGTAGAAACTTTCTCTGGATCTTTATGTTAGTGACCTGTAGGGTTGTCTCACGAATAAGCCTGAATCGCAGCAGCTTAGCACAACAGGCACTTAGCTTGTGAGGGTGAGAACTTGGGAGGGGCTTAGCTGAGCGGTCCTGACGCACGGGCACTGGTGAGGTCTCCCGTCAGGCTGTTGGCGGGGGGCTGTCTCATCTGAAGGCCCGACTAGGGCTGGGGGCCGCCCACTCACATGGCTGCTGGCAGGTCTTGGTCTCTTGCTGGCTGTTGGCTTGAGACCCTGGTTCTTGGCATGCGGGCTGTGGAGACTGTTCAAGCGTCTTCACAGTGTGGAATGGTGGTTTGCTTCATCCGGAACCAGTGACGGGGGTGGTGGGAGGGTTGGTGTGCGCACGTATGTGAGTGTAGGGGCAGCTAGAAGCCACGTCGTTTCTTTGACCTCCGCCTGGAAGTGGCCTGATTTTGTGTTCCACATTCTGTCGGTCACACAGACCAACTGTGTACATCATGGGCCGGGACTGGTCCAGCCTGGACCATCAGGAGGCGTGCATCACTGGGGGCCACCAGGGACGCTGGCTTCCATGTTCTGACTCCCTGTGGCAAAAGGGCTGGAAGTTGGATCTGACCTTCCTTCCTTCCTTCCTCCTACAAAAGGCTTGTTTCCTGGTAGGCAGCCTTGGGAGCAGCCTTGGCCAATGGGTTCAGGCCGATCACCACGGGCCAGCTGGTTAGGGAAGGCTGGCTGTGCTCCCAAGGGGTGCGACAGCGCTAGGACTAGAGGAGACAATGCCAGGGCCTTGGGGTTCCTCTCTGCTCATTTCTCTGGCCCCCGGGTTGGTGGCGCGCCGCGTGTGGACAGGCCCCTGGCCCCTCACTGGCAGCCGTGATGATGGGGCGGGGGGGTGTCAGCCTGGTCTCAGCCTCCCGTGCTCCCTCCAGCCGCAGCTGCTGGTGCCTCCAGGGCTCCAGATAGCAAGTCTAGTGTGACGGGCTTCTTGGCGCCCCCCGGATTTGACTGGAGGCCCCTCTGGTCGCCATTCTCACCTCTTCCGTCTCCTTCCCCTGAGGGCCTGCCGGGTGGGTGCTCGTGGAATCCCACCCTGGGGAAGCAGCAGGGAACAAACAGAGCCCCCCGCCCTTGTGAGGGTTCGCTCTGGCATTCCTCGTTTAGGGCCTAGAGCTGCCCCAAGCGCGCGTCGGTACTGTGGGTCCAGCTGCCCCCCTGCAGCCCCTCACCCCCATCTCCCTTTCAACCCCTTCATCTTTACCGAGCCCCTCCTGCACACCAGGCTCTGGCCCTGGTTGTGAGTTGGTCTCTGCGTGCCGTGGCAGAGGTCACAGCCCCGCCATGCCCCCAGACGCCATGCCCCCTGCTGTGTGCTTCGCTCCCTCCTGCCCTGCTGACTCAGCATCCTGTCTTGCTCAGCCAAGGGGCCCCTCTGTGCGCGGAGAGTTCCGCACCAGCCCCATGCCAGCGAGCCCACTCTGTCCAGCCCTAGCTGCGGGGAAACGGGGAGATGCAGCTGCTTCTTTTTCTCCTTCCTGTAGCCCTTGAGCTTCGTGAGGTTGGGCAAGGCGGCTGTGGTTCCGGTGAAGCTGGAAGGAGTTGCTGCTGGTCCAGGCCCTGGAGTCCCAAGGCCCCATAGCAACCCGAGTCTCTGCCCTCTCCTGCCTTCCCTCTGGCAGTGTTGGTCACCAGCCCCCGAGTGGGGAGTAAGTTGGCCTAACATTTAGCACCTGTCGTGGGGTTGACATGGCACCATTGGAGACCCAAGGCCCTTTCCTCCGTTTCTCCAGGACAGCCCCCACCCCGCCCCGGCTCTGCTTCTCCTGACTTCCCTGTGTACATGTTGGAACCCATTCTCCCCCGACTCCCAGGGGTTCTCTGGCAGGCTCTGGAGGCCTTGGGACTGGCTGGCTCTGAAGGTCAGGCTGATGGTTCAGGTTCTTGAGGACTCAAGGGTGATGTTTGTAGTAAGGAGGCTGGGTTTTCACTGGGAAGCAGTAAGTCGGGCTTGGCACTGGGCGGGGGACAGAGGTGACTTTGAACTCAAGGGCCAGCAGCCTCCCTCTCCTGCCTGGACCACGAGCTTCCTTCCTGCATGGCCCACTCCCACTCCTGCCCCACAATGCATCACTTTGCCCTGAGCCCCCGGGGACCCCAGTCACCTGATCTCCGGGAGAGTCTGCTCCCCTGTCTACACCAGGAATTACTCTGCTGGCAGCTCAGAACAAAGAGGCTGACCCCGCCCTGGCCTGGCTCCCACCTACTCCCCCGCCCGTATCCTGAATGTACCCCTTTCTTGGGACTCCCATCCTCAGGGACCCTCCGGTGCCTGCTAGGTTCCTAGGGAGAGTCCTCGTCGAGCACAGATCTGGTCCTGAAGCCGTCTGGTCCCCTCTATTCCAGGACCAGCAGTTTTGGCCCCCCGCTCCTCAACCTGGGGGCCTCCCTGTGGTGACTTCTACAGCGCTGGCATTGACCAAGAGCCACTTCACGGGGCTCGGGCTCAGCCAGCTTCCCCTTCCCCCTCACTCCTGACCATGACCTGCTGACCAGAATGAGGTCCAAACACTCTGGTCTGTTTCCCCGGAAGAGCCGCCGGCCAGCTCCAGCTTCAGGATGGAGACTGCGCCGGGTGCAGAGGAGACATAAATCACAGGGAGTGGAATGTTTGGGTTGGGGGAGGGGAGGAGAATAATGGAGCTGGAAGGACCTTAGAAGACAGATGATCTGCTCCAGCCTGACTGGCACCTAGAAAGGTCGGGAAACTGGTGCAAGGTCACAGGGCATCCTGAGGAGGGGGCCCTGGGGCCGCAGGCTCAGCCATCTTCCTGACTCTGAGCCCTCCCTGAGTCATCAGTGCCCTGCACTCCTGTGGGGAGATACCCATTTTGAAGCATGTGAAGGTTCTGGACCTCAGGCCTCTTCTTAGCTCAAAGAGCCTGGCTGTCCGACCCATCCCAGCCAGGAGAGGGGCACTTGCTTCCCAACCCCAGCAGAATCCAAGGGGGGCCAGGGAACACCGTCCTGGGCATGCCACTGCAGCTGGAGGCTCACTGGGCATCTGACAGCCACCCAGGGTGTGAGCGGCCGGAGTGACTGAGGAGGCCCCGAGCCCCATCAGGGTGCGTGGGGGAAAGGAGAGGCCGTCATGAGACTTGGGGGCGGAAGGAAGGAAACACGACCTGATGCAGTGCCGCTCTGTGAGGCTCGCCAGTGTCCTGTGGTCAGCGTCTTGGGCTGTGGGGCAGGGTCCCTGCTGCTGTGAAGTGAAGGAGCCACCCCATGTCATGACAACTCCGAAGGGTCTCCTGATTGTCTCCGTGCCCCAAAGGGTGGCCAGCACCAGTGCTGGCTGGGGACTGCTGGTCCGGCGCCTGCCCCGTTGCACAGGGCACACGTGTGTCCCTCCTCCGGCCTTTGGCTGGTATCACCGAAGCAGCAAGGGAGGTGTGGGGTCCCCCAGCTGGCGTGTTTTGCCGGAAAGCTGCACTTGAGGTGAACAGACGGTGCCGGGAGAGCAATGCTCTGCTTGGGGAGTGCAGGCTTCCTGGGGGGCGGTCAGAGCCGCGAGCTCCTGCTGATGCATTCGTGGGGAGGTGGCAGGCAGGAGGCTTCCTGGAGGAGGCCACGTTCCAGACCTGAGGGGTGAGTAGCCATAAGCCTGACAGAGAGGAAGGAGCAGGGAAGTGTGTCTAAGGCCCAGGCCTGGCAGTGAGCGAGGGCTCGGGAACTGGAGCAAGGTGTGGCGTGGGAGGAGAGAGGGAGGGAGAGGCCGGAGAACACAAGATGGGTGGGCCACGGGGAGAGTGGGGGCCGCTGGACTGTCACGAGGGCTTCGGGGTCGTCGAAGATCGGGTCAGCTTTCCTGGGGTCCTCTCTGAGGTGGGTGCTAGTTCCTGAGGCGCACAGAGGCAGAGCGGTCTGTGTGCCATCCAGGGGCCAGGCGGGGCTCACATGCAGGTGCATGCTCCCTCCCTGGGTCCTCGGGTCCGTCCCGGGCCCTGGGAGCCGGAGTGGTCATGTGGCATCCCAGGTCCGGCCTCCCAGCTCCACGGCAGGTGGCCCAACCTGCTGGGCCGGCGGGGCTGCCCCCACCGCCCACCTGCCCAGCCGTCTCCCTGGTTTCTTCACTCCACATTGCTAGTCTTCTCCAGCAGCCAGAGGAAGTTTTTTAAAATAGCCGTCTGGTTCTGTCCTTCCTCTGTTCCAAACCCTCCCATGACCCACTGACTTTTCTGCTTGGTTTCTTCCCTGCCCTCCTCTCCGCTCTCTCCCTTCCCCTCCCCTCACTATTCCTCCAGAACACCAGGCCGTGGGGCGCCTGGGTGGCTCAGTCGGTTAAGCGTCTGCCTTCAGCTCAGGTCATGATCCCAGAGTCCTGGGATCGAGCCCCGCATCGGGCTCTCTGCTCTGTGGGAAGCCTGCTTCTCCCTCTCCCACTCCCCCTGCTTGTGTTCCCTCTGTCTCTGTCAAATAAATAAAATCTTAAAAAACAAAAAAACACCAGGCCATGTTGCCCTGGGGCCTTTGCACATGCTGTACCTTCTGTCTGTCACACTTGCTCAGACACTACATGGCCCTTCCCTCCCGAGGCACCTAACCTGAAGCTCATTTTCCTTTCCTACTTGCCTTTGCCTTCTCGTCACCACCCTCTCCCCCTCCATGGCCTTGCCCCCAGCCCTGGCGTGGCTTATTCATTTGTAGGTGTTCTTTAACATCTGGGCCTGGGACTGGTTCACTCCCTCACTGCATCCACAGTGTGGAGCGGGGCAGGAGGTGCCCAGTCTGGGAGCTGAGAAGCAGCCAGGGAGCTGCCGTGAGAATGACCGAGAACTAGCATTCTCCGGCTC